ACTACAATATGTTAGACAAGTAGTGCTCAGTGGCCACTGAGGCGAATGTTACTTTTAGCAATCATTTTTCTATTTTTAATTCCTGTCCTCATTCTATTCATATTTACTTTATATCCTAGAACACACTTATAGTAGTTAAAATTTGTGTGTACTAGTTACATAATTTTGGGTTTTTTTTTTTCTATTTGTTTTTATCAATATGTTTTCAAAAGCATCTACATCAGGCCTGCTGTGATGTGGCGGGATCCTATATGGCGCCAGTTTGTATCCTGGCTGCTCCACTTCTCTTCTAGCTCCCTCTGGTTTGTTGGCTGGGAAAGCAGTAGAGGATGATCCAAGCCTTGGGACCTGTATCCATGTAGGAGACCCGAAGAAGCTCCTGGGTTCAGATCGGCTCAGCTCCAGCCGACTGGGGAGTGAACCAGTGAATGGAAGATCTTTCTCTCTGTCTCTCCTTCTCTATGTAAAGTCTGGCTTTTCAATAAAAAATAAGTAAATCTTTAAAAAAAAAATCTACATCATTTTTGTCACTTCCATGAATGCCTGCTCATTGTAAATTGGAAGTTAGACATTTTGGATTTTATTTGTTGAGTGCTAGATCTTATATATTGAGTATTTGGTTGTGTTCTGAATTGACATTCAGTTCTTTATGGATTACTTTGATCTTTAAGGCTTTCCTTTGAGCATTATTAGGAAAGCGCAGAGTAGCTTTTGGTCTAGAATTTAGTTCCTATAGTAACAACTGGCTTTTCTGAGGATTCTACCCAGATGATAGGGTCTCTGTGCTCTGTTAGTGGGGCTCAGCCACTGCCTACCAGTAGTTACTTTTCCAACTCTGAGTAACTTTTTCTTTCTCACAATGATACCAGTATTTAGAAAAACACCATCCTATTCCCAAAGTACATCCTTCCTCTCTCTGTTTCTTCTTTTTCTCCCTCTCTTCCCCTACCCATTTCTCCCTCCATCTTGCCTTTCCTCTTCTTTACCATTCATTATTCACACAAGTTCTACATATCCCAACCACCCAATGCCTCTGTCTATTCTTTTTATCTTTGCAAGACTTTAAGTTCTATTTGCTATTCCCATCATATGCAGTGGTCCAGACACTCTCTCTTAGGAACCACATTCCTATAATGTCTGCAGAGTGTTGTTTCTTATGTTTTGTCTGGCTTTCAATTTGTTGTTTGGGGAAAAAAAAATTCCAATACCAGTCAGTTCTTCATGAGATAAAGCAAAAATCCTTACTATTGCAAAAAAAAATTATAAGATAGTAGTTGTATGACTAGTTTTTCAGTTGCCAGAAGTAATGGAGAACACAAACAGGGAAGATTTTTGTGGAAAAACAGGGGGCTGTTAAGAGCTATGAGCCTGTGAAAGACCATGTTGCCCTTGGCACCAATGTATACCCAATGCAGCATCTATTTTGTTATGATCTAAATCTTTGGCAGGATTCTGTAGTGTACTTCTAGTAAATTTCACTACCATGCATGGCTTTTGGTATGTCTGTGACATGTATGGCTTATCTCTAGTGACTTTGTGTGGGGACATTTGCTTTAGGAGGGACCTGTAAGACCTTTATGCCTTAGATTCTGGTGCCTCATTGTTACCCTGTGACTAAATGCCACTGACTTTTCCAATTATCCAAAACTTTGACACCATTCAGCTCTCTCCTCTGAGTAACTGAGTCATTTATTGTTTTACCCTCTCCTCAAGTGCCAGTCTCTGTGACTGTTTGCCAATGTGTGTTGCTGTTGAATACCTACTCTGTGGGACCCCAATACAATGGCATATAAAGTTCCTACAGATTATCCGAGACTGAAAGAAGGATTAGCATTTTAAACCTCCATGCAAGAAAGTTCATTTTGACCCAAGAGTCAGATTTGTACCTCCTGGAACTTTATGTCCTGATGAACAATCACATCATGTCTGTAGGATCTCTCAAAGAGAATCTAGGCTTAAGATTGTCCACCCTTTTGGGATCCACAGACTTTTTCAACCTTAGCACTGATGGCACTTGGTGCAAAGATAATTCTTAGTTGTTTCAAGCATGCTGTAGTTGTAGAATGCTTACCAGCATCCCTGGCTTCTGCCTGTTACATATCAGCAGCACCATCATCACAGTTTTGATAATATCTCCAGACTTTTCCAAGTGTCCTCTGGGGTACAAAATTACCCCAGTTGGGAAACACTGGTATTGATGCACTATAATGTACTATGCACCAGGGGATTTGCACACGTACAAATGCTGGAGAGACCCAATAGACTATGGATATCTTCTTGGGGGAAGTCAGTCCAAGTGGAAGGCCCATGTAGAGAGTATACTGGGAAAATATTGACCTTGGAGTATAAACTCCTAGATTCAGGTCCTTCCTTTGCATGTACAGGACAACTTTTTCCTCTGCTCTGTTCCTCATTTTTCTTATTTGAAAATGAGGGGTAATGTTGTTTACATCACACAATACTACAGTAGTAAAAGCCAAAGGAAATTTCATATCTACACAACTATATTTATATAAGAAAACACAAATATAGATTTAATGATTCAAATACAAGCACACTTATTTGCCAGTATAATTGTCAAGACAATGTAGAAGAAATAATTTTTATCCAGTACATCATGTATTTTAGTCCTCCATGGATTGATATTGCTTTATACCTGAAGGCTCAACAGGAGATATCTTTTAAAAGAAGGAAAAGGGGAAAAAAAAGTCTTTTCCCCATCAATTGAAATTTCATCTAAATTAGAATGCAAATAGCCAGAATTTTACATTTGCTTTTCATTTTGCATTCAGTGATCTGATCAGACTGTACAAGAATTTAAATGTCTTAATGGGAGATAGTGGCTTTTAATTCTTCTGGGATTTCATTGTAATGAACCTGGTAAATAATTCAGGAACATTTGAGAGGCTACTGAATGGGCAGCACCTGGTGTTGTATTGTTCATGCCTAAGTACACAGAATCCAAAGATGGCATTCTACACCTGTCAGTATTGTTCTGTCTTGAAACTGGGTCCTATGTTCAATGCCTATTGAAATTATAGTAATTGATATGTTTTTGCCTTGGCCAATTTTACCCCACAATCAAAGAAGACTATGCTAAGCTGCTTCAAAAAAGCATAAAGCAGGAGTGACATTCTCTGTTAAATTCCAATTAGTAGATTTTCAACTCCATTTTCTCTGTTAAGATATGGATTGCTTCACAGAATTAGGATTGCGTCTGCCTTTTCTGCTGCCACTAATTTGAGCTTTTATTTCTCTGCCTGTGTTCCACAAGGTTGAATTTCTTGTTAAATCATAATATTCATATTGCAAGCACCATTTGAGAAAAAAATTCCTGGCCATGGACTCTGCGGGTATTCCTACTTTGCTGTTTCTTCCCAGTTACCTGAATAATCAGTCTCGCTCCTAATAGTTTGGTAAAGAGCTTGGCTGCCCTTCTGACTCAGCTAATGGGATATAGAATTTCCCTCTGGGGCTGGCACTGTGATGTAGTAAGCTAAGTCTCCCCCTGTGGTGTTGGCATCCCACATGGGTGCCTTTTTCTGTCCTGACTGCTCCACCTCTAATCCAGCTCCCTGCTTTATGGTCTGGGAAAGCAGCATAGGATGGCCCAAGTTCTTGGGTTCCAACACACATATGGGAGACTGGAAAGCAGTTCTTGGCTTCAGACTGGCCATTTTGGGAGTGCACCAGAAGATGGAAAACTTCTCTTTCTCTCTCCTTCTTTCTGTAACTATGCCTTTCAAGTAAAAATAAATCTATAATTTTTTCCTCCACTCACTGAGAGAACTTGAATGAGCAGCAGTCATGCATGGAGAAAGCCAAATGCCTCGCAGCATCAAATAGAGCCTAACCCAGAGATCTTGGAATGGCATCGGCTTCCCAATGAAGTAAAAAGGGCAATGTGCTCTCCAAGCCTAAACTGAACTTCTTTTTTTAAAAATTGATTTTTTTTAAGATTTATTTTATTTTTATTGGAAAGGCAGACATACAGAGAGGAGAGACAGAGAGGAAGATCTTCCATCCGATAATTCACTCCCCAAGTGAACACAATGGCCAATGCTATGCCGATCCGAAGCCAGGAGCCTCTTCTGGGGCTCCCATGCGGGGTACAGGGTCCCAAAGCTTTGGGCGGTCCTCGGCTGCTTTCCCAGGCCACAGGCAGGGAGCTGGATGGGAAGCAGGGCCACCGGGATTAGAACCGGCGCCCATATGGGATTCCGGGCATGCAAGGTGAGGACCTTAACCACTGCACCATCGTGCCAGGCCCCTAAACTGAAATTCTTATGGTGCTGGTCCACATGAGACCCAAGGAGAAACTACAGACAGTCAAGCCAAGAAATTATTAGCTATGCTTTCCCTTTGTTTTTAAGATATTGTACAATTATTTTAAAATCCATTTTAAACCTTTGTGATATATTTAAGTGTATACATTTATGAAGATAATTCCAAAAGTTCCTTGACAGTCTGTTATGAAAAAACTATGTATGATATTCAAAATATTTTGTATCAAAATAAACTCATTTTAATTCAACTTTTTGAAGTGTCCCATATGTAATAAAAGTGTAGCTATATGTAAGTAAAATATATGAAATATTTTTAGACCTCTGTGATACATTGTATTATAGGTGGTGTGTGTGTGTGTAACCAGTTTCTTTCCTTCTTCAGGGCTCAGGGTGATAGTACTTGGAGCAGTGACTGCCCTCTGGTGGCAAGCCAGAATCGTCTCTGTGTGGAACAGATGGTTGCCAAGTGGTCCCTTTCTTGATTTCCCTGGCAGCAGGGGACCAGTTAGACATGTCTGATGCTGGAGGGCCTCTAATGCTGGAGCTTCATGAAATAACCCTTCACTTACACATGGATGGGATTTTCATCCCACATTCTGAGCCAGGAACCGGCTCCAAAATGGGGTCTCTGAAGAAAAGACTTGATCTGCTGTTGTGTTTGAGTCCGAGAGAAGCAGCATCCCTCCTAAGACTGTGAGGAAGTACACACCACAGCAGCGAATGGTGACATGGAGTCTGAAATCAACTGCTCTGACTTGTGTGACAGTTTTCCTGGCCAGCAGTTGGAGAGGAGACCCCTTCACGATCTCTGTGGGACAACAATTGTAAGTGAGATGCCGTGAGCTAGCAGGACTGCTCTGACAGTCCTGTTGTTGGTGTTGGTCGTGTTGTCATTGAGGGTGGAAATGGAGGGATGGAGAAAGGAAAAGGAGCCACGCATGCAGGACATATTATTTCCCAGCTTTGATGGTGATGGGGTAGCCCATGGTTGACCTAGGGAGAACCTGCCTTCCTAACCATTTTTCCTTGATTCTGTCCTCAGACGTCTACACACCCTAGCAGTAGGAGCAGCCCTTCATTGTCTCCCGTCCTCTTGGGTATTGTTTGGACTTTTCTCAGCTGTGGCCTTCTTCTGGTGCTCTTTTTTCTCGCCTTCACCATTCGCTGCAGAAACAACAGGTAAGCAGCCCCGGGTCCAGTTTCTTATCTCCCAGAGGTGGATAGTCAGGAGCAGCAAAGCTTGTCTCACCCTCTCAGGCACAAACTCTGCCTGAAATTGTCCTGACCTGGCAGTACAGATTCCCTCTAGAGGAGGCAGGTCCATCGTAGTATTGTACTAGTTTCCACAAGCCAAGAGAAGGAGGAGTCTCTCCTCATAGAAGGTGAGATGTTTGTGTTTATTCTTAACACAGATACAAAAAGAGACCATATGGAGGGAAGAACCAGTATGGGTGGGTTAAGGATTCTGAGCAAACCCTGCTACCCAGCTGTTCTGCTAGACAGTTCTGGCTGCCTGTGAATTCACTAGCTAATCCGGAAAAGTATCTCTCAAGGCTGACAGCAGAAGCAAAGTGATGACTTCATTAGAAAGGACTTGCAAGGCCCTGCTGTTGCTGATACTGGAGCCTTGCCTCAGGGCCACCATGTCTCTCCCACAAAGGCACTGTTTGCCTTCCTCCTGCTCGGCTGTCTACCACTGGCTCCTAAGAGGCTCTACTGCAGCGCTCACCACTATCCCCCAGCCCACCTTTGTATCACCCGCTTCAGAATCCAACAACTCCCTCCAAGGTCAGTCTCTTCCAGCATTATACCTTGTGGTGAGCAAGTATGCTGGGCTCCGTAGTCTGTCAGTTTGGCGAAGGATCAGCCAACTGTAATTGTCTGGCAGGCATTCTGGAATTTTAGGCACAGAGGATGGGGAATTGTTAAGCAACAGACACTTGGCTGGCAGGGTCAACCTTAGTATGACATCAGCACTTGGCACCCTGACCTGAGTACACCCTCAGGCTGTCCCAGTCACTTTTCATTTGGTTCCTCAAGCACACCAAGCTAACGCCCATCTCAAGGCTTTGTACTCCTGTCTCCTACCCTTCCCTTTACCTGACAGTCTTCCTCACGTCGTTCCATGATTGGTCCCTCCTCATCTTCTAGGTCTTGGTACTCTTGTCACCTCTTCTTCAAGACTCGCTTTAACTATCTATCAAAGTCTCTACCCAATGCTCTCATTTCATATCCAATGACCCTTTTTTGTCTTCCTGATACTGGCTACAAAAGGTTGTACTTGTATTTTAATTGGGATAGTCATTGTATTAGTACTCTGGTTACAAAGATAAGAATGTTTTGAGTGTTATGACCCCATCATAATTTTTTTCTGTACAGTTTTGCAGCATGCAAGATTTGCCAAGAATTATTTATCTATTCAAACAGGAATAGCTGTAAGCAGCATTAAAGTAGAAACACCTATATTTCTTTCATTCTCTTAAAGATTTTTCAGCTTGTATTGTTTGCAGTTGGGAGCATGACTTGGCATAAAGAGTAAAGTAATAAGATCTGTGAGTGAAAACACATTTTGCAATTAAGTAGCTTACAAGGTCAAACAAGGAAAGATGAAACAACCCGCTTTACTGAACAATCATGCTTGTTCAAAGGTGCAGCAAGTATCCCAATCAGATGCTTATTTCATTTCAGTTCTGTGGTCTCTAAATATGTGACTCTGTGTGAACATGTGAGTGTGGATGCCAGATGAATAACAATATTTTACTAGCATAACAATGCTTACACTCAGTTGCAGATATTGCATTTTTATCAGAATTTTTAAAATGTAGTCTCTCAAGAAAAATCCATAAAGACACAGAAAACTTGAAAAACACTCTCAACAATCTTGACCTAATTGAGATTTATATAATCCACCACTCAACAGCATCATGCACATTTTTCTCAAATCCATGTAAGACATTTATCAAGACAGATTACATTCTAGGCCATAGGAAAAAAAATCTTATTAAATTTGAAAGGATACAAGTCATGCAAAGTATGTTTTCTGAACACAATAGAATCAAATTAAAAATCAATTACAGAAAAGTCTCTGGAAAATTCTAATCGTAAACTAAACAAAACAGTTCAAAATAACTTACTACCAAACAATAAAGCAAAGAGCTGGCATTGTGGTGCAGTGGTTTAAGCCATTGTTTGCCAAGGAGTGCTGGGTTAAGTCTTGAGGTGCTGTGCTTCCAATCCAGCTTCCTGTTAATGTGCCTGGGAAGGCAGTGGGTGATGGCTAAAGTTCCCAGGTACATGCCACCCTTGCAGGAGACCTGGCTTCAGCCTAGCCCAGCCCTGACTGTTGAAATCATTTGGGGAGTGAATGAAAATCTGTTTCTGTCTTTCTTTTTCCCTCTTCTTGCCTCATTCCCTGCCTTCCTCTCTGTCTTCCTCTCCTCTTCTTCCCCCCTCCCCGCCTTTGTGTTCTACCTTTCAAATAAATAAAATCGTAAGTAAAAAATCAAAAGGTACTAGAAAAGTCTTTTGAACTAAATGAAAATAAGCATATAACACATCAAATTGGGGGAGAGGGAATTTAGAGCACTAAGTTCCATTCTGGGGGGGAGGGAAATGGTTCCATATTAATGACTCCAGCTTCTACTTTATGAAAGGAAAAAAATTCGTCAAATGAGGCCTTCAAATTAGAAGAAAGGAAATGATGAAAATCACAGTGAAAAATCAGTAAAATAAAAAATAGAAGAATAGTAGAAAAAAAAGTCAGTGTGCCCAAAAGCTGTCTATGAATGTAATGAAATTGACCAATCTTAGGACAAAAGGTTCAGGAAAAGTGAGAGAGACACAGTTACTAGAATAAGGAATAAGAGAAATCGCTGTAGATTCTATAGCTGTTAGAAGGATAATAAGCTAAAATTGTGATTAATTATGGTAGGAAGCCTGTAAAATGTTTTCCAACAATTCCCATTTCCTGGCAGTCATGCTCTAATGAGATTTCCTTTCCTTGAGCATGAATTAGATTCACTGATTCTCCTTTTCATTCTATATCACTTCTGGTGTTAAAGTACACACAAAAAAATGACGGGCTTGCATTTTGGACTCTCACTCTTCCATTTGTTCACTCTGAGGAAAGTTAGTCATCATGGTGTGGCCACCTCGTGGAAGGGCATTGATATTTTTAGTTGGCATCTAGCAATTGCCTGGGACTTACTAACAACCACGTTAGTGAATTTCAAACATACCATCTGAGGCCTGCTATCAACCATGTAAATGAGCTTGTTAGAAGAACTCTTCTGTCACTCCTTAGAGGAAGATAACCATGGCCACACCTTGGCTGCAACTTCTGTAAGACCCTGAACCTGAGGCACCCAGTTGAGTTGTGCTTGTACTGTGATATAAATATTATCAGGTCAACTTAAACTCTTCTTTAAAGCTGAAAATAAGAAAGTATTCCTTAATTCATTCTGTGAAGATAGCATTACCCTGAGTTCCCAACCCAACAAAGATATTAGAAGAAGGAATGTGTGGGCCCTGCGCGATGGCGCAGTGGTTAAGGTCCTCGCCTTGCACGCCCGGGATCCCATATGGGTGCTGGTTCTAATCCCAGCGGCCCCATCCAGCTCCATGCCTGTGGCCCCAGAAGGCAGTCAAGGACGGCTCAAAGCTTTGGGACCTTGCACCCGCCTGGGAGACCCGGAAGAGGCTCCTGGCTTCGGATTGGCTCAGCTCCAGCTGTTGCAGTCACTTGGGGAGTGAATTATCGGACGGAAGATCTTCCTCTCTGTCTCTCCTCTCTGTATATCTGCCTTTCCAATAAAAATAAAATAAATCTTAAAAAAAAAAAAAGAAGGAATGTGTGTATATGGAGGAGGGGGGCTACTCCCCAGATCGTCACAATGGCCAGAGCTGGGCCAGTCTGAATCTGGGAACCAGGAGATACTTCCAAGTCTCCCATGTAGGTGCAGGAGCCCAAGAACTTGAGCCATCGTCCACTACCTTCCCAGGCCATAACGGGAGCTTGATCAGAAGTGGAGCAGCTGGGATTAGAACCAGAACAGCCAGGATTAGAACCAACATCTAAATAGGATGCCAATACTGCAGGTGGAAGATTAGGCTGTTATGCCCCTGTGACAGCACCCACATTTGATAGATTTCATTATCAATAAAGTGACAACAAGTTAGAAATAGAAGAAAACTTCCTCAACCCGATACAGTGCACATATGAAAAACCTGTAGCTAACATTATTTTTTTTTAATAAAAGGCTGAATGTTTTACTATTAAAGTTAGAAGGAAGACAATTTTTTTTCTCAAACTGATAGTCTTTTTTTAAATTATATTTTTGACAATCTTTACATAGTTAATTAGGGTAAAAAGGTTCAAGGGCTATAGGGAAGTGGTAAGACTATTATTTCCATATTGTTTCCTTCATGTATCTGAGGTAAAGGGGGATATTGAGGGAGAAGCCCCACCCAGTTTCCCACCTGCCCCAAGTCCCAGATGTGGGGCATGCTCCGAGATACTTGCTCAAGTGGTTTTGATAGTTCTCCATTTATGAATTGCTGCCACTCTCGCCACTCCAAGCACAATGAGGTCGTTGAAGAATCCACTGACTGACACAGTCCCTCATAGAGTCTCCATTTGCCCAGTATTTCGCTGCCAACAAATAGCTGAGGTGGTTGTTTGACTTGTTTTGTCTTCTGAGGAAGACAATTCTTTTCACTACTGTGCTTCAGCACTGGAGTTTTTAACCTCTGTAATAATACATGAAAAAGACATAATAAAAGATGCTTACTTTTAAAATTGGAGAAATAAATATCTCTACCTCAGGTGCTTGACCACCTATATAGAAAATTCAGTGTCATCTGTTTCTAAAAAGCTTTTAGAATTAATAAATGCATTTATCAAGTTTCCAGGGCACAGGAACAATGTACAAAACTTGGTTGTAAGAGTAGGTGTTTGATGCTGTGGGTAAGCTGTTGCTTGAGATACATATATCCAATATCAGAGTGCTTGGCCTTAAGTCTCAGCTCTCTTTTTAGTTCTATTTCCAGATTCCTGCAAGCGCACACCTTAGAGGGCTGCAGGTGATGGTTCAGGGATTTGGTCCCTGCCACCCATGTGGGGATTTAGATTAGGTTATTTGTTCCTGGATTCAGTCATGGTTTTAGCCATGGTTGTGGCA